CTATGTGCATACATACATACATACAGTTTTCATGTAAAGAGTCGTGTGTCGGGAAGTCTATGCTCAGGGAGCAGATCCCTTTCTTCTTGGGTGGCTTCTAGTTTGCTTGCTTGTTTGCTCAAGCAGGTGCCTTCCTCCTCTTTTTCTTTGACTGTATTCCTGCTGTGCGTTACTGATGTCTGGTCTGGACGAAAGCAATCGGATGTCTCGCGAAGCCTTGCCTGAAGGATCTGACGTGGTTGCCGGTTGGTCCCACATCATCCTGGGAATACCACTGGGTCGTTCTGAAGGCCATCTTTATAGGCATTACGGACGGCTTCCACGGCATCTTCGTGGACGTGCCATGTCATACCAACCTTATGCATGTCCAGGATTTGGGGCATGCAGTCGTGTTGCTACTTATGTTGTTCACACATCAAAACGCCCCCAGGGTTGCGTGAGAGCCTTTTCTCTGAAGGTTCCGGTGGCAGTCGTCACAGAACCGAAGGCGACTTTTCGACACTTGTGGAATATCGCAGACACTGGCATAGACGTGGTGAATCTGTTCAAAGCAGGTGACTCGGCAAAGCAAGCATTGGATCTGGCAGCTTGTTGAAAGCTTGTTCATCCAGTGCTGCTTGTATGTAAGTTGGACCTAGCTGGAAAAAACAGAAGCTGAGATCGACGGCAATCGCCAACTGAGCCGATGGACGATGGACAGTTTAAGGGCAATTTCGATGACTTCGAAGCCACCGTGCTGCTGCTTCGGCTGATCTTGACAGTGCTGTTCGGTTGTCTCCGCCTCACGGCCATGATTGCACGGACGCCGGACAAGCCCTCCGATGAAAGTGACGGAGACGAGGAGGAGGACAGCGAGGACGGGCGGCTTCTGCATCGTACCACCAAGAGGCGTCTGAAGCACCAATGCTTGCTTGTTGCGGGAGGACTCCAGCGGAGACGATCGATGTGCTGCCTTACTTTAGAGACAAAGATCTTGTTGCCAATGAACGCTAATGTAGACAAAGCTTCACAAATGTATAGCTCCTCCACGAGGTGGCTCAGGCAGTCCAGTTTAGCTTCGACTGCCGTAGCAGTCCTCGACAGTTTGTGCATCGGAGCCCAAAGCATGGCTCCTCAACATGTCCCCCAAGAAAAGAGGTACCATGCCAACCTAGAGCGACACCTGAAATCGTTCTCCGCAGCCAGGACCCCATGCTGTGCATGCGATAGCGGGTGCAAAGCCGGCTACAGTGGGTGCTGCTTTCGCTCAGTCGGAACGGCCTGCGTCCTAACCGGGCCTTCGTTGCGAAAGGCTTTGTGCGACGCTTCCGGCATGCGGCATGCCCCCACAAAGGTGGCCACTGGCGACCGCGCTGTGTTCTGTGCCTGCAGGTGCTGGGTTCTACGTCAAGCAACACTCTCAGTGCACTTGCTGACGAGGCTTCACGCTGCGGCGCAGTCAGAAAAGACGGCGCCCCTGCCTGGCAATAAACAATGAAGAGGCTTTGGATCTGAAACACAAGTACAGAAAGCCACAGACTCAGACTTGAAGCCATGGCAGGACATCTACATGGATGACTTTGTCAGCCCAGGCCAGGAGAACCAGATCCCCCCTACCATGTCTCAGCAGCTTAAGTCTTAAGTCTCACGTGTCTCCTTCTAGACAATTGAATGATACAGCAACTGTGTCCAAAATCCAGGTCAGATGTTGAGATGTCGTCGATCTGAACAGCGAAATCGCCTGTTGCCTGTTCTGTCGGGTGGCTGGTCACGTACTGACGGCCGGTGACTGAGATTGCCCTCGTGAGGTTTCTCGATCGTTCCCTGGACTTTGGTGCACCTTCGTAGTATGGGACTACATGCGAATACCACCAAAGCAGTGTGCAAGACAGAGAGGTATGACACAATCATGAGCTCTTCCGAGGCTTGCCCCGAGGCCAGGATGCAGGCGTCGGTTCAGGGCCACCGTTTTTGCGAGGACCAGCCGGCTCGAAGTGGGTGCAGGCTTTCAGTTCCAAAACGTGGGCCCTCTGGTTGGATGCACGCCATCGCTTTGGAGTCCGGGCGGCAGACGTTGCTCTGTTCTTGCTCTGTCCCACTGCGTACAAGCTCGGCTGGCTACGCTACACCGGGCCGAGGATTTATTTTGTCGGCAGCAGCGCAGTCCCAAGTCGCTGCCCTTGGCAGGTTCAAGAGGCAGGACGGCAGGACCATAAGATGCATGGCGATGGACACCCTCAGCCTCAAAGCTTTTGCAACCTTCTTTGCATCCTGTGAGGTGATGCTACTTTTTGAGCAAGTCTGTGACTCCACGCGGCTGGGCACGAGACAGCCAGTGGCGAGGCCACAACAGCGGCATCTTCAAAATGCTGCATGCGACCCCAGGCAAAGCTACAGCCTGCTAACCAGCGCTTCCGGCTGCATTGCGTCAGAGCATTGGCGACAAGACAGCGAGCCAGACAAGGACGAGCTTCCGATGCAAGTAGTTTGGAGCCAGTTGAGAGTATTCCATGTGCAGCCCGAAGCCAAGTGCTCAGGTGCCGACAGGTGGTCCGACGGATCGTCTGCAGCAGCCTGCCAGTGAGTGCTCTGTTAGCAAGCCTTACAAAGAAACCAGCCTGTGAACGGCGAACGATGATCGTATGCAGGGTGAACTGGGGATGTGTGCCGAGGTGCTCAGCCTTAAGTGTCCAAGAAGTTCTCGGACGATATGACCTTGTTGTAGCCATGGATGAGGGGACCCGGGCCCGCGTGGCTGCTTTGGCTGCCCCTCAGCTGCCTCTTCAAGCTTCCATCAGCTGAAGAAAGCATGTGCTGGACGACGCATGTTTGTAGGGCGGTAACGACGAGCGGCTGTGCTGCTTGGCCGACTTCTTGGACGTGCCCTGACGGACAAATTGTGACAAAGCTGCTTGACGATGTTGCTTGCAGAAGCTTTTCAGCCATGCCTTCAAGCGAAGATGACACCTGTGTGTGAAGGTGTGCCCGGTGCAGGACCAGATTTCCCAGCTGCTTCGCACGCATGGAAACAGTAGTGCAAGCTTTCCTTGGTGGAGCCGTGGTTGCGATGGATGATGGCTCCTCGCTGGCGCTAGGCTTCAACTCCTTTGGGATCGGAAGGGCCTCGCTTGTACTGTTCGGCCAGATGCGCGGAGCGTTGGCCGCGCCAGGTGGGACACAGTCGCGCTGGGGGAATCGTGCAATAGATGTATATAGCGCCGCGCTCGGACGTAAGGAGCTTGACAGACCTGGACGATGTGGACAGCTCTGACTTGCTGCTCGTGGCCCAAGCGTTGGCGGTGGCAGGCCGCTTTGTCAAGCCACGTCGTTCCTAAACTTGAGAACCCAGAACGTGACCGCGAAACTTGGCAGGCTTGGAACGTGGCCTGGAGCAATAGTGTCGCAGAGTTGCATACTCACATTTAGCAAGGCACAGGCCTGTTGCCGCAGAAGATGCAGCAAAACAAGTCAAGTTGACTTCGCATACTGGATGAGCCGAGGCTTTTTGATCTCGCAGTTTCCACAGGGCTTGAAGGTGACCTGTCCAATGTGGGTGGTAAAACGGATCGTGTGCAGGATGTGCAGGGAATTTGGAGCTCCTGGTTCAGCCGAGGACAGGCTCCACCCTCATCTCGTTCCCAAGGGCATCTGAGAGCGGAAAAACGCCCTTAGCCCAGGATATCCGGCCGGCTCCTCTCATCCCGATCCGAAGCTCTTTCGCTTTTAAAACAGGAGCGAAGAGAGACCAGACGGGCTTGGAAGTAACGTGAAAACTTCGTAAGCAATAAATCCTGCGCCTGTTCAGAGTTTCTAGGCCTGAAGGGGCGATGGGTAGTTCAATTCTCCATGTCTGGCCTGGGCCCGTCACCACAAGTGGCCCTTTGGACCCACGTTCCTGGGCTGCCCCCGTTTCAATTGCGTAGCAAGGCAAGAACAAATGGGCGAAGAGCCCCGATGTTTGCTTTGACTGCTGCACACAGGGCTGAGCTGGATGTATCGTCGCGATGGCCTGGTGTTGATGCCTTGTGGCATCGGAATTCGCCCATGCTCGACACCGGTTGTGTGGGTGACTCCGACTCCAGCAGATGCACTTCACTCATATACATAGTTATTCATATCTGCACAGAGTTTGTCTTTGGCTTGGTAGATTCGTGACTGTGGCGGCGAATTCGCAGCTCGGTATACATGGATTTAGGTAGGTATGCATGAATGGAGGAGTATGTAACTGTGTATGTGCGCATGTGTATGTGTGTGTATGTATGTACGCAAGCATGGGCAGCCAGATGCGTACAAATACATGTAACGTAGCAGGCCTTTAAAGATGCAATGGGCCATCGCATTAGTATCACATAGCCTTTCGGGACAGTTCCTCAGGGCTTGGGGCTGCCAGGCGCGGGCATCCGGACTTCCGGTCTTCATGGCCGATGTTGCGCGCAACCAGGTCCGGGCCTCTGGGATCCTGTTTTCTGCCCTTGGAAGTCCACTTGAAGCCGATTTCAGGTGCCATAAATCCTTCCAGATTCAAGATCGGTCTTGCTTAGATGTATGCTCAAGGTGTAGGCATTTGCCTCTTTGAGTTGGGGTAAAGGCCCTGTCGCCCAATGGCACAGCGGCTGCTGAAGCAAGCTCCAACATGGCGGTCCTTGCACGTGGCCAGTCTTCTGGCGCATAGGAACAGACCACTCTCGAGGCTCCAACTGCGAAGTTGTGGGAGCGAAAGCGAGATGGCGGGCGTTCACAAAAGCCCAATTGTCCAGCTCCTGTGGAAAGAGAGAGCGAACTTACAGCGAGTCACTGCAGACGGGGGCAAGATGCAGGAGCAGCTCTTGACCAAGACGGCCAGAGACTCCCGCGTTGCTGTTTCCTATAACTTCAAAGATGATTCGCTTTTGAAGGAGCAGTACGCCAACTTCAACGGCTTGATACAATTTAGTAAACTTTTCGAGGACTTGGATGCTTTAGCCGGCAACGTCGCATTTAAGCACTGTGATGACGACGACCCGGAGACCAGAATGCCGCATTTGGTCACAGCCTCTGTAGCGGTGGCTGCACACAGCATGCCTCTTTTGTACTAGGTTTCAGTTTCCTAGGTTGGACTGGCCACACGTGTTGGAGCAAGGTCGATCGCATCCGTCTGGCACCTTCTATTGCCATTACACTGGACCAGAACTATGAGATGTCTGGCCAGGTCTCATGGGTAGGCAGTTCATCGCTGATCATCCACATGAAGCTGACGCGTGAAGCTGATGCTGTCGACGTCCTGGTGGCCAACTTCACCTTCGTTGCGAGGGACATCATGTCCGGGAAGAGCTGCCACCTCTCTTGAACAGTTGGTGATGACTGCAGCCATGGCACAAACATCCGTGTATGGATTTGCTTCTGAAAATGCAGCGGTGCCGAGGCAAGGTGAACCGCTTGGAACCAGAAACTCAGGCATGTGCCCTTTGCATGCCAGACTTTCCAGCTTCTGTCCAGTGCCTGGATTCAGGAGGAGAAGAGACTCTTCCAGCTTGCCGATGACAAGAACAAAGCCAGGCTCCACTCATGTGAAGGTCGTCTATAAGGAATCAAGAAGCCCTAGAGTTGAGAGTGCCTCCCGACGAAGAGCACCGGTAAGGGCGCGGTAGGGGGTGAAGGCCAGCCCTTGCACTTGGATTGGAAGAGCGTTTCCAGTCAAGCATGCTTTACTGGAAAAGGAGTAGCTGTTCAGTAAGTATCCTGGAGACAACAGAGGAAGACAAGAGCACGAGAGGGACCGCATTGTCGTTACTCTGCTTCTGGCTTTTCGCCACTGTCAGGAGACTGGCTCGCGCAGCTGGGAAGGCTGCTGCAGGTACGGAGGTGGACGCAACCCAGGCGGCTTTGGCCAAGGCGCATTTGGATTCATGTCAAGTTGTATGGTAAGTTTCTGTCATCTTCCGGCGCAGTTTTGCCGGCGCCACCACCAGCACCATCACCGCTACCTCCGCCTAATCAAGAGAGGGCTTTGGAAAGTAGATAGAGATATCATCAACCACACTTACTGGCGGGATGAGACGGCCGCACGGAGACTAGCCCAGAAAAGCCTCACAGAGTGGCTCTGCCAGGATCTGAGACCAGGAGACGCTCGAGGCATGTAAAGTCTGGCCAGGCCACACTCTTCGGCCTCTCGGGCTGGTCAGTGTGGTCTTCGAAATCCCGCCGGGAGACGCCTTCAAGACTCAAAGCGCCCAAACAAACAGAAAACAACAACCTTTTTAACCGACAAGCAAACGCAGTTCCAGTTGCTATATGTTCTACGACAATCACTGCCACCGCCATTCGGGTCAGAGCTTCGTTGCTGCAGGAGCTACTGGATCAGGGGCGGCTGCTCCAGGAGCTAACATGGGACCCCATTGCATGTGAGAACAAGAGCTGCTTAAGGCTCACGTGATGTCAGGACATGCCTGGACTTGCCGTGGGCGATGCCGTCCTCATTCACCAGACGCAGCGAGAGACGATGATCATTTGCCAGCCACAGCAGCGCAACACCGCTGGACGCATGTTTGGTGGCTACCTCATGAGGCCGCATGCAATCGCATGCACCAGCTGCGTTGAGCATACGCAAGGCAGCCTCAGGAATCTTCTCATTCCAGTCGGATGCGTGAGCACATAACAAGGCGCGCAATCAGAAGCCCAGACCCTGACGAAGCAGCCCCCGTCAGCAGACTGATTTTGAAAGCAGCAGAACCTCTCTCGCCCGCCCCCTCGCTCTCCTTCTCTTTTTTTTTTTTTTTTTTTC